TTCAAAAATTTCTTTGTTTGTCGGTGAGACGTAAAATATTTGCAGGTGTCAATGTGACTTTAGAGAATAATTGACTATACATAACGGTCAAGAAATAACAAGCAAAAGCCAACCTATGTAATGTTTTGGATCATTTCACGGTTCAGATACATTTGAAACGGAAAGTGTCTAAAAACAAACAGTTAAAATTTGACTATTTTTCTCACCCTTTGACGTAAGTGTGCTAAAAAAGTGGAAACGAATATCAGCGTTCGACCAAATAACCACAGCCAGTCTAGTTTTTTCTGGCAAGAGCTAGCGGCTTCATTCATACCACATTCGAACCGCCGTGGCGTGCGCAACAAAACAACAGCTCGTTTTTGCAAAATTTAGTGGCGCCAACGGAACGATTCACTTTAATTAACCTGCCAAATTAGTATGTCATAGGTGTATGATATCCAGACCATATGTCTAGAGGCAGTTTTCCACAAGGATTCCGTATATCACTTTCCTGAGACTTGAAAGTGAAATAGTGCGGAAATAGTGGAAAGTCAAATTTTTGAGGTTTAAGAGCACTTCTAGGTATTTTGCGTTTTTCTGCCTGAAGACTTGGTCTAAACTAAAAAATAAGGTGATATTTGTGATCAGCATGATGTAAACTGTCGGAACATGTAACTAAAAAGAAAAAAGAAGATGTGCGGAAACTTTGAATTAGCGGCACCTTAGATCACAGACTAGATATGTCATTTCCACCAAAAAGTGTTTTGACCATAATGGTGTCACGAATATCAAACTTTCAGGAACATTTTAAAGTATATACCACTCCCGAAACATCGGTGGAATCAATTATAAGTTAGGTACTTAATATCCAACTGTGTTAAAAAGAAAATTTTGGCTTGGTTTTTTCCAATTCTTAAACATAAATAAGCATAAATGGAGTGCCTGCTGCGATATAAATATGAAAATTATTTGACTCTTCTCTGTTTGATCATGAATAGTTACTATCGGCTCGCAATCAAGCATACAGTTACTATTGTTAACAATTTTCAGCCGTGCTGCTTAAGTTAAAAATGTATTAACATGCTGCAAAAAAGATGTTCCTTTTTTCTATGATGGGATAAAGCAGGTCAAGTTAGGTATGAAAATGTTGATTACACTTTTTGCAAAAGATATTTTCTGACAATTAATTTCAAAATATTCAAGTTTTACAAAAAAGTAAAACTACGTCAAATTTTCGAAAAGAAGCTGATTTTTCACCTTTATCATTATTTCCGCCTAACGAAACTATTTCTGTCGGATTGAGTCTGAAAGATTGAATATGAAAAATCACATTTACTTACATTCAAAATGCCAGAAAAACACTTCGCGTATGACTGGTAGACCCGGCGCTATTCGTGTTGTAAGCCTATCTAGGTTTTTTAGTTCAAAGAGTGAACGTTCTCCTTTTCATTCTTATCAAAGCACCCGTGGGAAAACGTTTTCGTTTATATTAAGCTGTTCTCGAGAAAGTACACTTTCTTGCTACTACTTTTATTTTCAAGCTTAGAATGCTCGTCTATCTAAGGACGATTCCATGATAAGTCATCACATATTCATTCGTGTTCAGTATAACATCACACCGGTTATCTTTTATGATTTACATGCTGTACTTTCACCTTCTACACACTCTTTCGTAACATTCTTATTTCTGAAAGATAGCAAAACAGGAAAACGTTAGCTATTTGAGTTCTAGACTATAGATTGGTGAGTGCTTTAGGCTCTTGTTTCCATCCTCCACGTATAGGCTTGCTGCCACAATCGATTGATTTTATCATAGTCAGCATTACCTGGATCTGCTTTATTCCAGGGTTTTGCTAGAATATAGTGAATCACTTTAATCCTTGTTTCATCCCATAAGTATGGATGAGTTTTTGAAAATGTTTTTAACGAATTATACACGTAGGGTAAACGTCTCCAGGTTAAAATTTGTTTAAAAAATCTTGATCAGGAAATTTGTATGATGACAAATCCCATGTACTGAGAGCAACGATCATTTCTTCAAAAACAGTTTGGTTCGGACGAAATAAAAATAGACCACTGTTAAACATGTTACCTCGAGTATCAACTTCAGAAGGTAAATGAGAATGCTACTCGTGAGTATACGGACACTTGTGAGGTTAAGCGAAAGTCATAAAAGATATATACGCATAGATGTGAGACTTGCATGTCTGTAGAAGACGGCTTTTGTGAATGAAACTATTCCAGTAATCGGGATACGATGGAGTATTATCTGGATTACAGATACATCTCTGAGCAGCTGCAAAGTTTGGGTTGTCTTCAAGTTCAAGTAATTCATCAGTATTGTGTAAAACAATCATGTCAGCATCCATAAAGACACATTTATCACAAATGTCGATCATTTGGAAAGCTCGTAGTTTTGTCCATGAATGAATGAAAAGTTCAAATGCTAAATTTGTTTTATCGTATTCAGGAAATAAACCTTCTATTGGACGTAGCAGACATCCTTCATTCAAAATTGATTGCTGTGATTCTTGTGATGCGCTATCTAAAGTGATCATTGCTACTAACGGATACGAGGTGTTAGCCCGTTTTAATGAACGAGTTAAAGCTAGCAATCCTGGCACATACTTGTCATTAGTCAGCAATGTTAACCATGCATGTCGGACGATTCGAGTTTCATCCCTGAAGTACTGTTGGTAATAAATTCCTATTACTACAGCGAGTACGATAACTGATCCAGCTCCGAATGAATTCATTTTCTAATACTTTTCACTGCAAAAGAATAATGAAACATATAGTTATTCTGTTATTAACAACTTTTAGCTGTCGTATTAAAGTCAAAAACGTATTAAGATTTTGGCGATCCCAACCTATGCAGCGAAGTTTTTTGTCCTTTTTTTCTTACCATTCGATTTGTGTTTTCATCTGTTTTCCACACAAAGAATGCTCCTCACGACAAAACTAAAATAACAAGTTTATAAATCAGTTAGAATAAAGAAAGAACAGATACCCATGTCAGCGTGCTCACGTAGTAATAGATGTATGTAAAGAGGCATAAGATCAGTGATACCAAAATGTGATTAAGATCTGATTCACTACTCAGTTTTATGTTTTATTTTTTAAGCATATGCTGAGATTTACTTCTTTTTATATTGATTAAAAAATATTGTATTCTACTAGTTGACGAATAGTTTTGAAAAAAATCTAGTTATCTAGATGCATCGAGTAAAAGCGATGCACTAGATGCAAGAGGCGATGCATCGCCTACCAATATAGGAATATTGAAACAATAAAAAAGGCGATATTTAGCGCGATGCATTAACAGTGCATCGCCTTTTGAATCTATTTTTTTCCACAGTTTCTGCAGCTAGTTTAGAGCGCTGCAGCTAGATGCGACTAGATACAAAAAGTAAAAAAATAATCTGTACCTACGAGAATCGAACTCGACCACTTCGTATCAGAATACATATATCATATATAGAATTTTATATATATACTTACGAAGCATTTACCGACCAGGCTATCTAGATGCATTGATCTTCTTAATCGATATTTATCATATCATGATGCAGATATAAAGGAAATACAGTTCAAACAATGAAAAAATTGGAGTGCTGCTTTTGGAAAAACGAAACAGAATAAAAGACAAAACTGTTCTGTGCGGAGTCGAAAAAGGTTCTGAGAGTGCTTATTAACTATAGCTACCAATAGTCCATGTTTTATCACTATGGATTACTGTACAATCTCAAACGAATATCAGAATATATAGAAGTTTGAACAAAAATAGAGATAAGTGACAGTCTCGGTGTAATAATTTCGTTATTCTCTGGTGGCTTGTGGATGTAGTAATACAACCATACTCGGTCAGTACGGTAGATATAGAGAGTACAGGTCTAAAATGACATTCTGGCTCGACCATATTATTAATCCGAATGGTTTGAATGTCAGTATCTATCGGATACACATTCTACACAAGTCCAAGCATGATGTTATCATCATATGTGATAACGATTACCTTACGGTAATTCGGTCACTGAAAAGGATTCTCGATCCTTTCTGGGTTCTTTTTCTTATTTCTTTTAGAAAAAATTTACGGCCATACTCTACTAGTGTATTTATTTATTCTATTGCATCACCATATCTTTACACTTTTCTATTTAATAGATACACGAGTGGATGCAGCTGGCTTCATAGCAAAAAGACGAAAGTTGAATCGAGGACCATTATTTATTTATTCTTTAAAGGTCTCCATCGTCTTTTGGTCGATGCATCTAGCAGTTCATCCTCCACATCTAGCTGCATCGCGCCATGCTCGATTCAACTTTTCTCTCTTTCCTATGCAGCTAGCGGCATCTATCATTGTATCTACTATCCATTTCAAAAAAGAAGAAGCACGGCCATTTCTTTGA